CTAGTATTTTGATGAGGATTTTTGCATCTATGTTCATCAGTGATATTGGCCTTTAGTTTTCTTTTTTTTTGACATCTTTGTCTGATTTTGGTATCACGGTGATGGTGGCCTCGTAGAATGAGTTTGGGAGTGTTCCTCCCTCTGCTGTATTTTGGAAGAGTTTGAGAAGGATAGGTGTCAGCTCTTCTCTAAATGTTTTTTAGAATTCGCCCGTGAAGCCATCTGGTCCTGGGCTTTCGTTTGCTGGAAGATTTTTAATCACTGTTTCGATTTCAGAAAGTAGAATTGTGGTTGCTAGGGGCTGAGGAAGGGGGAAATAGGAATTGTTTAATGGGTATAAAGTTTCGGATTTGTAAGATGAAAACATTCTGGAGAACTGTCTCAAAGTGTGTATCCTTAACACTACTGAAGTGTACACTTTGAAAAGTGGTTAAGGTGGTAAATTTTATGTTATGTAATTTTTCTATCATAGTAAAAAACTTATATTAAAAAAAGCTTAAATAAAGTAGATGAAACAAGAATGACTTAACGTTGATATATGAAACTGGATACTGGTATCATGAAGGTTCATTATGCTATTCTCTTTACCTTTTTATTTTACAATTTTCCATAATCAAAAGTTTTTAAAATGAGTTAGTGAGCATGGGCTTTGTGGGCAGAATTTGAATCCTAACTCCAGTTTTTAAAAATTGAGATATAATTCAGATACCATAAAATTTGCTATTTTAAAGTATACAATTCAGTGGTATTTAGTCTATTCCACAGAGTTGTGAAACTATAACCACTATCAAATTCCGGAACATTTTTATCACCCCAAAAGGAAACCCAGTACCTGCTAGCAGTCATTCTCCAATCTTTCTTCCTCCCAGTCCCTGGCTGTTTCCCATCTTTATGTATTTTCCTGTTCTGTACAATTCATTTAAAAGTGTGTTTGTAATTATAATTTATAATTTTTTCGAGATTTTTTTCAAGATTAATTCATGTTGTAGCATGAATCAGTACTTCGTTCCTTTTTATGGTTGAATAACATTCCCTTGTATGAATATACCATCTTTTGTTTATCTGTTTGTTAGTTGATGGACGTTTGGGTTTTTTCCACTTTTGACTGTTACGAATAATCCTGCTATGAACATTCATGTATAAGTTTTCTGTTTGTTTGTTTGTTTTTTGCGGTACGCGGGCCTCTCACTGTTGTGGCCTCTCCCGTTGTGAAGCACAGGCTCTGAACGCGCAGGCTCAGTGACCGTGGCTCACGGGCCCAGCTGCTCCGCGGCATGTGGGATCTTCCCGGACCGGGGCACAAACCTGCGTCCCCTGCATCGGCAGGCGGACTCTCAACCACTGCGCCACCAGGGAAGCCCCATGTATAAGTTTTTGTGTGAACATGTTTTCAGTCCTCTTGGGTGTATACCTATGAGTGGAATTACTGGATCATATAATAACCCTATGTTAACTGCTTGAAGAACTCCTAGACTGTTTTCCAAAGTGGCTGCACAATTTTACATTTCCACCAGCAATGTACGGAGGATTCCAGTTTCTCCATACCCTCGTTATTTTACATTTTAAAAATTATAGCCCATCCTAGTATGTGTTAATTGGTTTTCTCATTGTGGTTTTTTGATTGGCATTTCTCTAATAACTAATGATGTTGAACATCTTTTCACGTGCTTATTGGCTAGCTTCACTTTTTAGCTGTGTGACATTGGTCAAGTTCTTCAACCTCTGAGCCTCGTTGTTCCATCATCTGTAAAAAGGAGGTAATAATGCATCATGATGTTATTGCAAGGTTAATGGACATGACCTGTACTTGGAACAGTGCCTGGTATATAGTAGGTACTCCGTTGATACCTAATATTACTTTGCTACTTGAGCTCTAAGTAAGCCGCAAACCAGGCAGACTTTTCCCAGTGAATTTTGTACATCAGTTGTTGAAGTCAAATACTGAGATGATGGTGCCCTTTCATTTGCCAGGGCTGCTTTCCTTTTTTACAGCCTCTGTAGGCCTTTCTTTGCTATTCTGTCAACTCTAGCTCTGTGTCCTTTCTAGTGCTGGTTAGGACCATGGAAGATACACACGAGAGGCAGAAGGAATCTATGGCCTTAAAACTTGCAGATGATGGTACTTCCTTGACTGTGTCAGCTGTCCCAGTGCTATAACAGTTAAGAGGAGAGAAATAATGAAAGAATTTATGTAAGAGGTGGTAGCCCTATGGAAAGTATTTGGAACGTTGGGAAAGACAGGCAATATGGCAGTCTAGGCAGGGAAACCAAGTGAGCAAAGAAAAGGAAACAGTAATCTTGGAGAAGGGTAGTTAGGAAACTAGCCTGGTAGGAGTAGGGTGTTGGAGAATTGTGAGGGATTATTTATGAGATTCTTATTCTATTGTTTTCCATTACTTACCCCAGAATATGTAGTGAAAGAAGTTTTATATCTGGAATCATGAGATTTTTGTTCTAATCTTGGTTCTGCTGCAGATTCGCTAGATAACCATGTCAAGTCATCTGTCATTTCTAGGGGGCTAGTTGCTTAAGCAGTAAAATGAGTAATTGGGCATATGTATATCAAATCACCTTGTTGTACACTTTAAATGTCTTATAATTCTATATGTCAATTATATCTCAATAAAGCTAAAACTTTTTAAAAAATGAGTAATTGGGATATGTCAATGATTCTTAATTGGGAGTGTGCATCAGAACCTACTGGAAGCTATTTTGGAATATAGGCATTTTGATCACACTCAGGAAATTGTTTCAGCAGATCTGAGGTGAGACACAGGTTTTTATATTTTGAAAATGCTTTCCACATGGCTGTGATTTATATTCCTAGTGTTATAAGAGCCATTCAATTTGTTAAAGATCACTAGTCCTTGGCTTTCTGGAGTTGAAATCACTTGGATGGTGGCATAATCAGCTTCAGACCAGCTAAAGGTAATGTGTTGTAGCAGAAAGAGCATGGGCTTTGGTGTCAGTCTGACCTAGGTTCCTGTTTCCCAGCTCTGTAGCCCTAAACATGCCACATCACTTCTCTGAGCCTCAGTTTCCTCATCAGAACAGTGGGGCTTATAATGCCCACGTGGTCAGGCTGTGATGATGAGAGAGAACATATCACACTTAGTACTATGCCTGGTACAAAGTAGATGGATGCCCAATCAGTGACTGGTATGAGAGGTATATGCTGGAAGAAACTGTCACCAGGGGACAGCATAAAACTGTACTCCTACCCTGACCTATCTGGAGTTAATCGTAACTCTAGACATAAATATGTTGCAGTGCAAAGTAAGGATTTTTGCTTCCTTTGCCTGGATATCAAATAAATACAGACCTTACTTTGCTATCTGCTTACCAGTGTCCCTCCCCCTGTTGTGACTTAATGTGTGACATGGCTATCTACTGTGACTAGACTCTCTTTCCATAGCTTAGAAAAAGCTTAATGTGTTGAAACTCCTGTCAGACTCCAGAAAACTACCATTCCTTTAAAACTTAAATGAAAAAAATAGGTCAGTTGAGTTCAACAAAACTATCAAGGTCTGCAAGCTCTAGAGACAAAAATCCAAACTTTGCTCCTTCCAGCTACGTGACCTAGGGATGTAATGTAAAATGGGGATAATAATAATAGTTATGGCCTCATAAGATTGTTTTGAGTATTAAATGAGTTAATGTATGTAAAGTAATTGGAACCTTGCTTAACACATAGTACATGTTCAGTATCTGTTAGTAATTATTCATATTACTATGCACCAGATCTTATGTGGGAGCCAGGAATACAGAGATTATAAATAAAGTTTCTGCAGTCAAGGAACTTACTGTGGCAGAACCAGTATGCAGACCATTTCAGTATGCTTTATGTACAACAATAGACACGTGCACAGGAGGGACACTTAACAGTCTGCCTCTATTACATTAAAAATAGTGCTCTCTAGGAAGAAGTTTGGTACAATGGAAAGTGTGCATTCTGGAGTCAGATCAGCTTGGGTTTGAATCCTGTATATACTTACTCAGTATGCAACTTTAGGGGAAGCCAACCTCTCGCAGCCTTAGTTTTTCCATTTCTAAAATAGGGTGAAGTTTCTGACTTCTAACTTTTGGAAATACCCTCCCTATTTGGGTGCCCTGCGGTCTAAGGTGCTCCTAAGAGAGAAAGCAGGGATTTTTTTTTTAAAGAGATGAACTTAGATTCAGATTCTAGCTATATGTCATTTAACCTTTCTGTATCTATTTCCACTTGTAAGTTTTTTTAAAAAATTATTATTATTATTTTATATTTGTTTATTTATTGGCTGCTTTGGGTCTTCGTTGCTGTGCGCGGGCTTTCTCTAGTTGCGGCAAGCGGGTCTACTCTTCGTTGTGGTGCGTGGGCTTCTAATTGCGGTGGCTTCTCGTTGTGGAGCACAGGCTTTAGGCATGCAGGCTTCAGTAGTTGTGGCACGCGGGTTCTAGAGTGCAGGCTCAGTTGCTCTGCGGCATGTGGGATCTTCCCGGACCAGGGCTCGAACCCGGGTCCCCTGCATTGGCAGGCGGATTCTTAACCACTGCACCACCAGGGAGGTCCCTCCACTTGCAAGTTTTTTCATCCATATCTACCTTGTCCATTGTTGTTCTGATGATGAGATAATGTATGTAAAGCACATATGGTGCTGAGCAATATATAATAGCTTTATTATCTTTCTAACAAAGTTCTGTTATTGTTTAAAGTAAAAACTTAAATAATATAAACCATGTTAATTTCAGTATTCTTTTAAAGAACCTCAGGCCATAGTTTCATGCAAGGAGTCAAAAAAGACTGGACATTTGAATGAACGCATGGATAATGCTGCCTGTGTTTACAGGAATAATCAAGTTCTAGGGTAGGAGAGGCTTTTTTTTTTAAGGCTATTTTGTTCAGCCTCATATAATCTTAAATTTCAACAAACTATAAAATTCAGTTACTAACCTTCCTGATTTCTAACCAAATACAGGTCAGCTTCTGTTGCATGATGTGTTCTTCTCTTCTTCCCTCCTAGGTCTTTCAGAGCCTTGAAGACCACCATTTGGAAGTGGTGGCTTTTTTCAGGGAAAATGGCTTCCATGGCCTTCTTGCCCATGACTCCGAGTATGCTCTCTACAATATTCCCTCTTACTATAGTTCCCATGCTCTGAAGCTGAGCTGGAATGGGAAGAACCTTACTACCAACCAGTTCCTGATGCAGGAGGTGGCCAAGCAGCTGGGCCTGAAGCGGATGAATTTTCCCATATTTGCTGCATTGCTAGGTAGGTGGTCCAAAGAACAGACTCCAGTGATTGTTAAAGTTTCCTCTTGCAGTGTTAAGAGATGAAGATTAGAGTGATTTAGGTTATCATTGTTGGATTTATCTTCTGAAAGTCTGCATGCCGAACACTGTGCTTTTGGGCTTCTTAAACTCAGCATGTTTGTCTTATAAATTAATACAGGATATTCCAGAACATTATTTTGGTTCCTATAAAACTTTTTCTTTTGTTACATTCTATAAGTATTTTATGCAGAGTACCATCTTAGGCCAAAATATCTTACTAGCCCTAGACAACTTTGGTTTCCTACTCAGAGCATTAGCATTTCTTACCCACTGTCTAAATTTAGGTCAAGAACACAAATCATTCTGTATCTTTTTCTTTTTTTTCTGTTGTGCTAACATTTTATTATGAAAATTCCCAAAAGTACAGCAAAATTGCAAGAATTTTGCTATGAAAATCCTATATCTACCACCTCTATTCTGCCATTAACATTTTACTATACTTGCTTTATCATATATCTGTCCATTCTATCCATCATCAATCTTTCTTTTAAAGGAGTATTTCAAAGTAAATTGCAGAGCGTTGATTATGTTTCGAGTTGGTTTTCCAAGTACTGACAGCATGAAGGTTAATATCTTGTCTCAGGTGTGACCTCTGTTTATAATCCCAAAGGATTTGAGCTTGGATACTCTAGTGGGGTCAGCACAAGTTTTGGAATTAGGCCTTGGACAAATCACTGAAGTTACACCTTCCTGGTTTCAGTTTCCTCATCTGTGAAATGGAATAATAATACTTCACAGTGCTATTGATAAGGTTAAATGAAATAAGATATATAAAATACCCAGCACTTAGTAGGCAGTGAGTAATTGGTGGCTGTTATTATAAAAGGCAGCATGACTGGGTGATAGAAAATAGCATGGACTTTGGAGTCAAACATTCCTAGCTTCTTATCCTGGTGTGGGCACTTATTAGATGTGGCCCCTTGGGCAAAGTCACCAGACTTGCTCAAACCTCAGTTTCCTTATCTATAAACTGGAGGTAATAATATTTACACAGTTATTATAAAGATGATATACATAATGCATGTGAAACATAGTAGGTAATCAAACATAGTTACTGTAGTTGTTACATTAAGAATATAGACCTATGTGAATTATTTGATTGTTTTCTCTCCCAGAAGTCCTTTCATGGCCTGGAGGTTCTAAGAAAACATTTGTACAGTCAATAAATGACAAATATACTTTATAGGTAACCACATTCTCCCAGATGAGGACCTGGCCGCTTTTCACTGGAGCCTCTTGGGACCAGAACATCCCCTTGCATCACTTAAGGTAACGTGACCCATTTCCTGCCTGTACATCAGGTTTTGATTGGAGTTTTGGTAGAATAAATATCTTTCATTAGGCTTAAAATATTTCAGACACTTATAGACAAAAACTTTATAATTATGATCAATACCCTTAAAAAGGAAAAACTCAGTTTTCTACCTAATGTGTAGGGAAAAATCCAGTTATTCCCTCCTATGTCTTTCTTTCCTGTGTTTCTCCTTTACTCCCATACTACTACCGCACTCACACAGAACACTTCACTTCTGACACTTCTGGTCACTAAACATGTGGGGGTTTTTCCCTACACAAAACAGTTTTCTGTGACACCAGCTGGATGTCCTACAATTTAACTCAATTCTAACACCAACTACCTGAAGATAGTGTCAGATCACACAAGTTAAGGACTCAGTTCCACAAGACTTCCCCCCCACTTCAGACACCATTCACAAGCCCAGGTTATCACCTGTGCTTCCGACCAACCAACTAACTATAGATTAGAGGTTCCAGTGACCCCCTTCTCAGGTTCAATTAATTTGTTAAAGCACCTCATAGAACTCAGGGAAATACTTACTTACATATATCACTTTATTAAAGGATATGATAAAGGATGGAGATGAACAACTAGATGAAGAGATACATAGGGTGAGGTGTGGGAGGATCCCAAGCACAGGAGCCTATGTCCCCATGGAGTTGGGGTACATCACCCTCCCGGTACATGGATGTGTTCACCAACCTGGAAGCTCTCCAAAACCTGTACTTTTGGGATTTTATGGAGGCTTCATCATGTAGGCAAGATTGATCATTAACTCCATTTTTAGCCCTTCTCCCTTCTCTAGACAATGGGGGTGGGGCTGAAAATTCCAAGCTTCTAATCATGGCTTGGTCTTACCAGTGACCAGCCCTCATCCAGGAGCCCACCCAGAGTCACCTCATTAGAGGAAGAGATGCTCCTAGTGCTCTTACCACTTAGGAAATTACAAGGGTTTTAGGTGCTCTATGCCAGGAACTGGGGTCAGAGAACAATGTATATTTTCTATTATCTCACACCCTTATTATCTTAAGGATTCATACGGACCTATGAAGAAAAATACTAATACCCCAATAAATGAAGTAATGAGCAAAGGACAGAAGCAGACAATTCACAAAAGAGGAACTAGAGTGGCCAATAATATGAGTGGGTGTTAAACCTCACTGGTGATCAGAGATGCAAATTAAATGAGCAGTGTGATCTTTTTTTTTAACCTAAGGGTTTAGCAAATATTGAAAAATTAGTCTATCCGCTCCTACTGAGGCTGTGTTGAGACTGGTGCTCTCATACATTTCTGGAGGTAGTGTAAGTTTTTGGTGGTATTATATTTCCCTAGTTCTTTCAGTCTCCTAGACTATTTCACACCTTTTCCTCTCTCCTTAAGCCTCTAATGCTCCCTCCTCCCTGCTCACTCTCAGCTCATGACTTGGCTTCCTGTTTCACTGAGAAAATTGAAGCAATGGGAAGAGAACTTACACCAGTTCCCACCCTTTCATCTTCTCACCTGCATGCTTTGCCCGCCTCAGATGACCTGTCCATGTTCCTGTCTAAGGTCAACCCCTCTACTCTTATGCTGGATCCATCCCCCATTGCTAACTTCTTTTTTTAAATATAAATTTATTTATTTATTTTTGGGTCTTCGTTACTGTGCACGGGCTTTCTCTAGTTGCGGCAAGCGGAGGCTACTCTTCGTTGTGGTGCGCAGGCTTCTCATTGCGGTGGCTTCTCTTGTTGCGGAGCATGGGCTCTAGGCACGTGGGCTTCAGTAGCTGTGGCACACGGGCTCAGTAGTTGTGGCTCGTGGACTGTAGAGCACAGGCTCAGTAGTTGTGGCGCACGGGCTTAGTTGCTCTGCGGCATGTGGGATCTTCCCGGACCAGGGCTTGAACCCGTGTCCCCTGCATTGACAGGTGGATTCTTAACCACTGCACCACCAGGGAAGTCCCCCCCATTGATAACTTAAGGGCATCACTTCAGCAGTTCTCCCCTCTTTCTCCCACATCATCAGTTTCCCTCTCTTATTGGCTCTTTCCCATCAGATGCATAAGCATGCAGCCATCTTAAAAAATAAAACAAAACCTGCTCTTGACTTCACTCCCTCCACCCAAGTTACTGCTCCATATTTCTTCTTCCCTTATAGAAGACTCTTCTAGAGAGTTGTCTAGGCTTGAGCTGTTTACTACCCCCTTTCCATGTTCTGTCTTCAATTTGCTTTGCTGAAATTGCTCTCAACAAAGTCACCATGACCATGATGTTAATAAATCCAATGGCCAGGTCTCAGTTTTCATCTTACTTGACCAGTCAGCAGCATATGACCCAGTTGCTCACTCTCTCTTTCTTAGAACATGTTCTTCACTTGGCTTTAAGGACACCACTCTCTTGTAGTTTCCTACCTACTTCACTGACTGCTGCTTCTGTCCCCTTTGCTGCTTCCTTGTCTTGTCTATTCCTTAACTTTGGAGTGTCCCAGAGTTCTATCCTCAGTCCCTTCTCTTTTCTATCCACACGTGCTGCCTTGGTGATTGATCTCATCTAGTCTCGTGACTTTAAATACCATCTGTCCATTGATGAGTCCTAAATGTATGTCTCCAGCTTTGACCTCCCCTTTGAACTCCAGCTTGTAATATCTAATGGCCTACTAAATATCTCAAAGAAACATGTCCAAATGGAAACTCCTGATCTTTCCTCTAAACCTCTTCCTTCCACAGCCTTCACTAATTTTCATTAATGGCAACCTTATCCTTCCAGTTGCTCAGCCTAAAAGCCTTGGAGTCATCCTTGACTTCTCTCTTTCTCATGCTCCATATCTCTTCTTGTCAGCAAATACCATCAGTTCTTCCTTCAGAATATATCCACTTCTCACCATTTTCACAGCTACTACCTTGGTCAAGCCACCATTCTTGCCTGGATTATTATAACACTTTACTAACTGTTGCTCTTCTCTTGCACTCTTTCTTGCTCCGCCCCCTGGCCCCAAATCTATTCCTAATACAACAGCCAGAGTCATTTTAAAACCTGACTCTGATCATGTCACTTCTCTTTTCAAAATTCTCCAATGGCTCTTTATGTCACTCACCTAATCTTTACCATGGCCTACAAAGCCCTGTACTGTCTGGCCCTCTGGTACAGCTCTGATCTCATCTTCCCTTTTCTTTTGCTCATAGAACCTTTGCACTCACCATTCCCTCTGCTTGGAATGCATTTTCCTCCCACATAGATATTTCCTCACTCCTATAGGTTCTCTCAAATGTTCTTTTCTCAGAGTGACCTTTCCTGACACCTTGTTTAAAATTACATGCCCTGCCCCACACACAGTTGCATTCCCTACCCCCTTCTCTGCTGAGATTTTCTCCATAGCACTTATCTACATCTAGCACACTATACGTTTTACTTATTCTGTTTGTTTGACTCCCCTTACCCCATCCCAACACACCTACACTAGAATTTAAGCTCCCTTGAGGGCAGGGAGTTTTGTCTATCTTGTTCACTGCTGTATCCCTGATGCCTAGGACAGTGCCTGGCACACAGTAGGCAGTAAATATTTGTTGAAGGAAGGAATGATTATTTGGCTAAATAATTTATATAAAAAGCCTTTAAGAAGTTTATAGCCTTTTACTCAGTAATTACCATTCTAGGAAGCTTGTAATTAAATAATTGGAAGGTGGACAACAGATCATACCTACATTTCATCACAGCATTTTAAAAACCCTTATTTAAAAAACTTTCAAGCATCACAAAAGTAGAAAAAATAATATAATAATATAGTCAACCATCACTATAACATCTTCCAGATCCAACAGTTATTAAGATGTGGCCACACTTGCTGGGTTATTTTGTTGTTGTTGCTGTTACTAATGTATTTTAAAACAAATGCCAGACCTTAAGTCATTTCACTCTCACGTTCTTTGATATGCATCTCTAAAACATATAGATATTTTCTTACATAAGCACAATGCCGTTATTACTCCTAACAAAATTAATGATAATTTCTTGGTATCATCTTAATATCTAGTCCATTTTTAGATTTTCCTGATTGTCTCACAAAGGCCTTTTTGTGGTTAGTTCAAATCAGGATCCAAACATGGTCCACACATTACAACATTACCTTTAATAGCAAAAATTTGGAGGCAGCCAAAATGTATCATGAAAGAAAACTGATTAATTATGGCAGTGTCATAAAACAGTGGTTATCTTTGTAGTGGGATAATTGCTGCTATGGTTTTGTCTTTCTTTATACTTTTCAATCTTGGTTCCAAGTGTTCTGTACTGAAAATTAGGGGGAAGACTAAAAAGATTTTAACTGTCTCTCAGTGAATTAACTGAATTTGAATTCTGTATCTCACCCCTATCTCACCCTTTTTCTTAGTGACCCATCTTTGATATCAGTGTGCCTGGCTTATCTTCCTTCTTCTAGGTCAGAGCTCATCAGCTGGTTCTTCCTCCCTGTGATGTGGTAATCAAGGCTGTTTCTGAGTATGTTAGTTCCATCAAAGACCCCTCAAACCTGGATGTGGTTGGGAAGGATGTTTTCAAACAGTCTCAGGTGAGCTAGCCTCTCCCTTCCTAAAAATGGCCAGTTTTCTTACCTTCACAAATACCACCAGCAGATCTGATCTTTTTTGTGTTGCCTACCTCCTCTCCTCCTAGCTGCTTATCTTCTCTCTGCTTATAGACTGGAGCCTCAAAGTTTCTTTTAGAAAACATCACTAGGCCTGGATTTAAAGGATTCTTTACCTTTTTTCCACTGATTATTAAAGTTATATAAGCTCATCCTAGAAGATTTAGAAAATGTCACTTATGATCTCATTAACCAGAAACAATTTGCTATAGTTATCACTCTGGCATATATCCTTCCCTTTTTTCTTTTTTTGTTTCAGTGTATATTTTAATGTAAAGGAGGTCTTGCTTATTGAAGGATAATGGATACTGAAAAAGACTACTTAAGTAGGTCCACTTAAAACAAGAATCAATGTTTCATCGTTAATAGTGAAAAAGGGGCTCAACTGGGATTTTGTCTTGTGAAATGAAACTGAAAGTTAGGAAAATAAGTTAGTTTTATTTTTTAAAATTTCATCTATATTTACACTCTGGGTTTTTCAGTTTTATTTTTTAAATTAACATACAATAAAACTCACTTCTGCATCTGTGTGTAGGTAGTTACACAAATTTTTAACACATGTATTGATTTATGTAGCCAACATCACAATCAGGATCAGAACAGTTGAACCACCCCCAAAATTTCTCATACTTTCCCTTTGCAATCACATCCAAACTCATCCCTAATCCATGGAAACTACCAGTCTATTCTCTGTCATAGTTATATCTTAGAGAATAGCATGTAAACGAAATCATAGAGTATGTAATCTTTTGAGAATGGCATTTTGCATTCAACATAACGCCTTTGAGATTGTTCTAAATTTTTGCATGTTGCGTGTATGGATAATTCATTCCTTTTTATTGCCAAGTAGTATACATTGTGTGGCTATACCACAGTTTGTTTATGCATTCACCCTTAGAGGATATTGAGTTGTTTCCAATTTTTTGTGGTTTGAATAGAGCTTCTATAAACATTTCTGTACAGGTTTTTGTATGAACATAAGCTTTCATTTCCCTACTGTAAATACCTAGCAATGGGATTTCTGGGTCGTATGGTAAGTATATGTTTAACTGTAACTTTATAAGACTCTGCCAAACCGTTTTCCAGAGTGGCTATTCCATTCCTTACCAGCACTTGTTATTGTTGGTATTGTTATTGTTACTATTAGTCATTCTAACAGCTATGTAGTGGTAGTTCATCATAATTTTAATTTGCATTTCTCAAATGACTAATGACGAACATTTTTTTTCTTGTGCTTATTTACCATCCATATATCCTTTTTGGTGAATGGTCTGTTCATGAACAGTCTTTTGCCCATTTTTTAACTGGGTTGTTTGATTACTTACTGTTGAGTTTCGAGAGTTCTTTATATATTCTGCATACTAGACCTTTGTCAGATATCTGGTTTGCAAATATTTTCCCCCAGTCTGTAGTTTGTCTTTACATTCTTTTAACAGTGTCTTTTGCAAAGCAAAAGTTTTCAATTTTTATTAATTTATAACTTTTATGGATCATGCTTTTGGTGTCATGTCTAAGAACTCTTTGCCTAACTGCAGGCACAATAATATTGTTCTGTTTTCTTCTAAGAATTATATAGTTTTACATTTTACATTTAGAACAAATCATCCATTTTGAGTTCATATTTTTAGAAGTGTGAGGTGTTTTGTTTTGTTTTTGCATATGGATGTTCAATTGTTTCAACAAAGTTTGGTGAAAAGACTCTTCTTTCTCCATTGAATTGCCTTTGTCAAAAATCAGTTGTCTGTATTTGTGTGGATGTATTTCTGGACTGTATTCTGTTCAGTTGTCCTATGTATCTAACTCTTTTGAAATAGCACACTGTTTTGAATCCTGTAGCTCTATGGTAAGACTTAAGATTGGGTAGTGATTCCTCTAATTTTATTCTTCTTTTTCAAAATTATTTTGTCTATTTAAGTTCATTTTTCTTTCCATATACATTTTAGAATAATATTGTCTATATCTACAAAAAATCCTGGTGGGTTTTAATTGGAATTCCTTTAAATATATACATGAATTTGGTGAGTCTTCAAATCCATGAATATGATATGCCTCTGCATTTATTTAAGTTGTCTTTGATTTAGTTCATCAGTGCTTTATAGTTTTCAGCTTATGTCTTATACATTGTTTTATATTTATACTTAAGTATTTCATATTGCAGGCACCTATTATAAAGGATATTGTTTTGTTTATTTCAGTTTCTAATTGTTCGTTGCTAGTATATAGAAATATGATTGATTTTTGTTTGTTGACCTTGTATGCTGAAACCTTTCTAAACTCACTAGGAGCTTTTTGGTAGGTTTCTTGGTATTTTCTGTATAGGTGATCATGTTGTCAGTGAATAGGGACAATTTTAGTACTTTTTTTTCCAGTCTGTATGCCCTTTTTTTTCCTTGACTTACTGCACTATCTAGGATTTCTAAACAGTGTTGAATAGGACTACTGAGAGAGGATATCCTTGTCTTGTTCCTGATATTTGGGGAAAGCATTCAGTCAGCATTAAGTATAATGATAGGTTTTGTAGATGCATGTTATTAGGTTGAGGAAGATCTCTTCTATTCCTAGTTTACTGAAAGTTCTTATCATTAATGGATGCTGTATTTTGTCAAATGTATTTTTGTATGTCTATTGATAGGATCATGTGCTTTTTCTTCTTTAGTCCATTGATTTTTGAATATTGAGCCATCCTTGCATTCCCAAGATATGGCAAAAATGTACTATTCTTTTTTTACATTGTTGGATATAAATTACTAGTATTTCATTGAGTATTTTTATATGTATTTTCATGAGGAATATTGGACTGTAGTTTTTATGTGTGTGTGTTTTCTTTGTTTGATTTTGATATCAGGGTAATGCAGGACTCATAAAATGTATTGGCAAGTATTCCTTCCTCTTCCATTTTTTGGAAGAGATTGTGTAGAATTGGTGTTTTTCTTCTTTAATTGTTTGGTAGAATTTTCCAGTGATGTATCAGGCATGGATTTCTTTGAATTTATCTTGTTTAGGGTTTGCTGAGCATCTTTAATTTCTAAGTATATCTTTCACTAAATCTGAGAAGTTTTCAGCTATTATTCTTCAAACAGATTTTCTGTTCCACATTCTCCTTTCCTCCTGTGACTACAGTGGCGCCAGTGTTTGACCTTTTGTTATTACCCCATAGATACTTGAGACTCTGTTTTTAAAAAATTATTTTCCTCTCTGTTTTTCACACTGGATAATTTCTATGGATTCATCATTAACTTTGTTGATTCTTTCCTTGGCCATCTCTTTTCTTTTTCTTTAATTTTTTTTTTATTGGAGTATAGTTGCTTTACAATGTTGTGTTAGTTTCAGGTGTACAGCAAACTGAATCAGTTATACATATACATATATCCACACTTTTTTAGATTCTTTTCCCATATAAACCATTACAGAGTATTGAGTAGAGTTCCCTGTGCTATACAGTAGGTCCTTATTAGTTATCTTTTTTATATATAGTAGTGTGTATATGTCAGTCCCAATCTCCTAATTTATCCCTCCCTGCCTTTCACCTTTGGTAACAATAAGTTTTTCTACATCTGTGACTTGGTTTCTGTTTTTTAAATAAGTTCATTTGTACCATTTTTTTAGATTCCACATGTAAACAATATAATATGATATTTGTCTTTCTCTGTCTTACTTCACTTGGTATGATAATCTCTAGGTCCATCCATGTTGCTGCAAATGGCATTATTTCATTCTTTTTTATGGCTGAGTAATATTCCATTGAATATAGGTACCACATCTTCTTTATCCATTCCTCTGTCGATGGACATTTAGGTTGCTTTCATGTCTTAGCTATTGTAAATAGTGCTGCAGTGAACATTGCGGTGCATGTATCTTTTTGAATTATGGTTTTCTCTGGATATATGCCCAGGAGTGGGATTACTGGATCATATGGTAGTTCTATTTTTAGTTTTTTAAGGAACCTCCATACTGTTCTCCATAATGGTTGTACCAATTTACATCCCCACCAACAGTGTAGGAGGGTTCCTTTTCCTCCACACTCTCTCCAGCATTTATTATTTGTAGATTTTTTGATGATGGCCATTCTGACCAGTGTGAGGTGATACCTCATTGTAGTTTTGATTTGCATTTCTCTGATAATTAGTGATGTTGAGCATTTTTTAACGTGCTTTTTGGCCATCTGTATGTCTTCTTTGGAGAAATGTCTATTTAGATCTTCCACCCATTTTTTGACTGGGTTGTTTGTTTTCTGATATTGAGCTGCATGTGCTGCTTGTATTGGGTTGGCAAAAAGTTTGCTCGGGTTTTTCTGTTACATCTTATGGAAAAACCTGAGTGAACTTTTTGCCAACACAGTATACTTTGGAGATTAATCCCTTGTTGGTCGCTTCTTTTGCAAATATTTTCTCCCATTCTGTGGGTTGTTTTTTGTTTTGTTTATGGTTTCCTTTGCTGTGCAAAAGCTTTTAAGTTTCATTAGGTCCCATTTTGGTTTTTATTTTCATTACTTCAGGAAGTGGATCAAAAAAGATGGCTGCAATTTATGTCAGAGAGTGTTCTGCCTGTGTTTTCCTCTAAGAGTTTTTTAGTATCCTGTCTTACATTTAGGTCTTTAATCCATTTTGAGTTTATTTTTGTGTATGGTGTTAGGGAGTGTTCTAATTTCATTCTTTTACATGCAGCTGTCCAGTTTTCCCAGCACCACTTATTGAAGTTGGTCATCTCTTTTCTGCTGTAGAACCCATCCAATGAGTTTTTTCTTTTTAATTCTGACTATTGTATTTTTTTTCAGGTTATTTATTTTTTTAAAAAAATTACTTATTTATTTTATTTTTGGCTGTGTTGGGTCTTAGTTGTGGTGTGCGGGCTTCTCTCTAGTTGTGGTGTGTGGGCTCAATAGTTGCAGCGCGTGGGCTTAGCTGCCCCACAGCATGTGTGGGATC